TAATTACCTGAACAATAATTTGAATAATGATCTTGATCTATTTTATATAATTTTAAATTTTTAATTTTATATTTGTTCATTTATTTTAATTTATTTAAATTAGTTTAAATTTATCAGAGTCGACTTAGTCAGTTCGATTCTGAGTGCCACTCAGAACCAGTTATTCAGAATCACTTAATCAGTTTGACTCACTTTAACTCGCTTTAACTCGCAAAACTGGAATAGAACTAATAGAGTCATTTTCATCCCTACTTATGACATATGTCAAGACAACTGTGAATCAGTTCTTTTCATTACTAGTGCCGCAAATATGAATTGTTTTTTTATCTATAATATTGATTGTAAAGTTTTCTGCTATGTTAAACCAGATAGGAGTTTTCGTTTATATTTAAAATGTTAGATAACTCAAATGATTTTTTAGTTTTAAGATTAATGATAAACTGACAGAAATATTCTAATAACTCAGCAGTTTGTGATGGAAGCTTTTGTGAAACTTTAGTTTGACATTACTGAGATAGATTAAATCTTTTCATGAATGCAAACATCTAATAATTTGATGTTTTAAATTCATTTGTTAAATATCCATAAAGATTTATCATAGCAGATTCTTTTAAAATATCTAGCATCTTAATTCACGTGATAATATATGTAATATCTAAACTCTACATCCTTTGCTCAATGATTTAATCGTATAATTTTTTTCAGTATTTGGGTAAAAGCTTTTTCAGCCAGAACCTACTCGTTTGTAATTTTAGTATAGTTCTTTAAACTATTTTTCATTTGAATTAACTCAGCGACTAACTATACTTTTATTAAGTTTAAAAGTATTTGCCACTCTAATTATTTTATTTTTCTTAGCATAAATGATAACTTGTCTCTTTTACTCAATAGAATATGAATTGCGTTTTCATTTGAGAGTTTTTTATTAACAGATATTAGTCTTTTTGCTTTTGTAGTGACATATTAAATTTTAAAATAAGTTTAAAAATAAGTTCATGATTAATTGTGTATAATTTATTAATCGTGATATCACATTATATTATACAGATGATTATTTTGTGTAATGTGATGATGAAATGTTTATTATATGACAATTTTTTCATTTCTTTTTCTACAAAAGAAAAAGTACCTGAATTTAAACAACTTTATAGCAAAAAAGGGTTACTTAATTTTGAAATAGTACAGTATTATATTCCTTGCTCTTCTTCCAACAGTTGTATAATTTTCTGTTAAAAGAATTTTTTGGGTTAACTATTGCTTATAATCTTTGAATTCCAATATCATATGTAGTAATTAATTAATTAATTCTTTCATGATTTAAATTGCTACAAAATTCAAATATTGGATGTCTAAATAGATTTGAAGATTCAAAGGCATCAAGTAACAAATAAGCAAGCTCTCAGATTTTTTCTTTTTAAGATTGAATATTATGTGATTGAGAACTTTAAACAGAATCACCAATATAATCACAAATCAGAATATCAGTATGTTTTTTTTCTAGTTGAGTAGCTTTAATTCTTAATTTTAATTCATTATTATCTTCTAAAATTTTTGTTATATTTTGTTTTACACATTTGATTTCAAATGTCTCTAATACTTTATCATAGGTGAAAAATATCCAGGACTTATTAAGCTAACAAATAGTACTATATGAAGTATTGCATGAAACTGAGAATCATTTTCTATATAATAAAGATGATAAGTTACAGACTTAGCATAATTTGATTTGTCTGAAATAGGAAATAATGGAGAAAAAGCTTTAAACTTTCATGTTGTAAATCAAATATACCCCACTGAATTTTAAACCAATATACTCTTCAAAAACAAGCCTACTAAAAATACAAATACCAAATTTTTATAATTGTATTTTCTTCTAAGATATTATTTTATGTCTGTTCTTTCTTTTTATATATAAATAGTCACTATACTAACTGCAACCCAAATTAATTCTAATACTCTTAAAGTTACTCTAAAATCTACGCTTTTTTTTAACTTATCTAGAAATCGTATATCTAATATTCATACTATATTGAAAATTCCATAACTTGAGAAAATTGTAATTAATGCAAACATTATGTCTTTATTTGTGTGCTATTGTTCAAGAATCATTTTAGTTTTTTCATTTTTTTTTCATCTACAATAATATCAATATATTTATTATTTTCTATAATAATTTCATTTAAATACATTTTTAAATATTCATGTATAGCAGAATCATTTGATAGTAGATATCTAGCATTAAGAATAACAATATTGGATGGTAAAAAATCACAACTAATTTTAAAAATGTCATAATTTGATTATATATATTATATTCATTAAAATCTGTACAATATATAAAAGTATTTTTATCAAATGTGAGTAATTTTTCAAAAACTGAATTAAAAGTATGGAATATTTATTATGAAAAAGAGTTTTGTCTAAAAAGTTATTGTTGCTAATTTCATACTATTTTTTGTTTTTCAAACATATTAAGTAATTGAGGTATTTGATATTAGAATAACATACGTATTGTAGCATACAAATTCCCTCTAATGGCATCACAAATGTTTTCATAGCCAAAATATAAATACCTTAAAATTCACATTATTTATAATACTAAGATTCTAAATATTTTTCTATATATTATTTGATCAGTTAGATCTACTAAAAATGCATGAATTTTTTTTAAATTACGTTCATATCTTTGAGTATGATTGACTAGTAATATTAATTATTTCTAAAATATCTTGTAAAGATGATAAAAGCTTTAGTTTACGATAAAGACTTGTCATTATTGAAGTAATCAGATTTTTTATTTTTTAAATACAATATTCAATATTATTAAAATAACAAATGTGATTTATTTAGAAATTTTTTTATAATTTAAAGATTTTAATTGCTATTTAAAATGCTTTTTTTTTTATCTATATATTTTTTTTTGTCTCATATAAAGTTTTTAAAAGTCCTTCATAAAATTATACTAAACATAAAGACAATACATTATGGTATTTTTCTATAGAAATAGATAATTCAAGTGATTTTTTATTAATTTTTAATTTAAATTTTGTAAGTATTGTTGAATATACTAATGCTTCTTCAAATTCAAAAAAATGTTTTAATGTAAGATTTTTTGGATTTAATCTTTTATATAGATTGTAATTAAATTTTACTAAAGTAATAATAATAAGAATCATAAAAAGAGAAGGTATTTCAATTTTATTGTTTTATATTATTGTTAAAGATTCTAAGAATTCTGATATAATATTTGATTTTTTTCAAGAAAATTGTGAATTAATAATATATAAAATAGGAATTAAAAATGATAAAACCTTTTTTTGCCATTTTAATTTATTAGAAGTACTAGCAATATTAAAAATCCAATGCCCAATTGCTTCTAATGCTTCTTTGAGATCATTTTTGTAATGTAACAAATTATTATAATTTGGATCTTTATGTATACATTTTTCAATATGTTGATAAATGTATTCACCTTTTTTTTCATAACAAGTTATACATACATTTAATACATGTTTATTCTATTGTGTTGAAATTACAGGAGGATGATATTCTTGTAAAGCATCACATTTTTTTGTACTATATAAGAAACTTGAATGTTTTTACCTATAATTGTATATGAATGTTCATTACAATTAGTATCATGACTAAAAAAAATCTTATTCTTATTATAAAATAAACAATAGTAATGATAAATAATGCTTTGAGTATATTTTTTAGTTTGCTTCAAATTAGCTAAATGTACAGTAATTTGTTTTGATCAAAATATAAAGTATGTATAACAAACTCTTAAATATTTAATTTTAAAATTTTTTTTCTTTTACTTTATTCTTATCAATTTCCCATGTATCAATCATTTGCCAAAGTCATTTCAAATTTGTTGTAGAATTACATTATTGAATTTTCTCTTCAACTTTATCAATTATAATACATGAATTTAATTTTTCGTTATCTTTTAAATTAAGAATAACTTTATCAAGTTCTTCATTAGGTTCAGATAATTCACTTTTTGTATCACTTATATTGTCCCAATTATCTTTATCTGAAATATCTTGTTGAATGAATTTTATTGCATTTGTAAATGCATTATGATCTAATTCATCATCATTATTTTTTTCATTTAAGAATTATTGCTTTTAGCATTAATTAAATCTTCATATTCATCATCAAACTTCAAATCTTCTTCTAATTCCTTATATTTACTATAAATTTTATAACTACCCTCTAAGACTTTCTCATATTCACTATAATTTTTATTACTACCTTTTAAATCTTCTTTTAAATTCATTAAGCCAAAAGTGTGTTCAACAAATTCAGAATATACAAGAAAAAATGTAAAAAAAAAGAAAATTATTATTAGTTTTAATTTAAGACTTTTAAATAGTGTAATATTTTTAAGTTTCTTTCACCTGCCATTATATTTAATGAAAAAAATACATCAACTTTTGGTAGAGATCCAACTTGCTTAACAAAAGTTATATGAGCCGTCAATAAGTTTTATTTTTTACTTTTAGTTAGTGCGTCACATTGTAAAAATGCAGTGTTACCATTATCCTGCTTTTTTCAATTTTAAGCGAATTTAGGCCGGCATTACTAATTTGGCCAGAATTAACAAAGATCGCGGCCTAAATTGGTTGACTGTTAGCAATTACTTTATTTTATATTAGGATTATTAGGATTATCTTGAATACTATTAGTTGTAATTTTTTATTGCGATCGGGTTCAATAATACTAAGATAATGTGCATAACATAATTGTTTTCCAAATTCTAAATAATTATATTGGTCAAAGGTGCCTTTTTCTTTTGCTTTTCTTAATGCATTAGTTGTAATTCCGTGATATTGATTTGAATTTATTTGACAATTATGAACAGAACAAGGGCCAAGATTTTTTATTAAAGTTATAAAATATTAAAGTTTTAAAATTAGTTTTTTAAAAAAAAATTTTTTATTATTTATTAAAACTTTTTATATTATAAATAAAACAAATTATTTTACATACGTGTTCTTTATCATGGCTTTAAGACGCGCTTCGCTTTATTAATATACACGTGATAAGAATTTAGAATTTTTATTGGTTTGATTTTGTGTAACATTTTATGTAGATCACAAATATTAAACCAATTAAATCAAACTTTCCATCATGCTCTTAAATTTAGGGTTAATAAATAAGGTAATGTTATGTTGATCATTGAATTTCCATACGAAAATGATTTGCTAATTTTTTTGTTAAAAAAAGGGGAATGCTACACCAATAAAGGATTGAATTTTGAAGATTATGAAGCTGAAAAAGTAATATTTTCCGCCACAATAAATAAAATTGATTAGAATCGAATAAAAAAAAAAGAAATGATTTCGAATATCGAAATTGATTTCAAATATCGAAAATCATTTCGAATAGAATATATAAAAAAAAAAAAAAAAAATAATATCAAAAAAAAAGAATCGATCGAAGAAATATATATATATATATTTGAATTTTATTTATTTACAAACAAATATTCGAATATACTATTTTCAAACGGAAACCCTAATAAATACAAACGAATA